GAAGACGGTGTTGGTCACCACCAACCTGTCCCAGCACGGGTAAGAGGTGGGGTTGGTGTGCGCCAAGGTGATGTGCTGGAAAACCTCCCACCCGTGATCGTACTCACCTGGGCTGGGTGTATTTAATCACCTACTACTTACTCCTGCATCAATTATCACAGCGGGGACCTCAGCCATGCCCTGGCAGTCTCTGGTTCCTCGTTAGGTCCTCACTGATGCCCCTGGGACCATACCCAGGGCTGTGGGCTCTGCAGCTCTGAGCTTACAGGGCAGAGCAGGCTCCACTTCTTCTGTTAAATCTGAGTTGCCACTGGTGGTTTTAAGCTGGTGTCACCCAGGATAAAAATCAATGCAACAGTTTTTGTATGGATGGGGGAAAATGTCTTTTAAAAAAACACCAAACCAACAAAAAAACCAAACGAAAACATCTTTTCTGAGTGGATGTAGATGTTGGAATGGACACAAATCTGGTTGGAACAGGACACCAGTAGCTAAATCAATGTGTTTTATGCTATTTATTTCATTATTGCTTCATTAAGCTGTGTATCTCCATGAGATGAGTCTCTGCTGGCAGCAGGGTGAGTGCGGTCCCGCAGGGCTCCCCTTCCCAAGGGGTGTTTGGGGCTGTGGTTTTCAGGAGAGCTCTACAGGAACCTCCTCTGCCCCTGCCAGCAACAGGAGTGAGAGAGGTGGCCTTGAAACCACGTGGCATTGGAGGGAGAGGCAAAAACACGGAGTGAATGTGTCTGATTTTTAAAGTCCTGCTGCTTTGCCCAGTTCCTGCCTGCCTTATTGGCATTTCGGATCCGGGGCTGCTGTTCATTCAGGTCTGGTCTGTTCAGCTGCAGGTTGGTCCAGTCTTTGCTTCCGTGGCCAAAGGGCCTGGCTGGTACCTTGAAGACCCACGTAGCCGCGGGCTCTTTGCTTTATTTCTCCGTAGTCTTTCCTGGGCCTGTGCCCAGAGCCATTTAAGTGCTTTGTGGGGCAGAAAATCCAAGTTCACGCCTGGAGCTGGGTCCAGGCAGGTTTGTCTGATCCAGAAGTCACTGCACTTGAATTAAGTGGGTAGAGAGCGGCTGTTAATTGCTGTCCACAAAAAGGAGGTGTTTGTCTCCTTTCCTCAAATACACCCTGTTGTTTCTATGTTGGTTCCCTGTGGCTGGGGGCAGGGCAGCGGGGCGCAGCTTTTGTGTTAGAGCATGGGCACTATTCCCCCTGTTCTGCTGTAACTTGTGTAAAACTCATTAACAGATGAAATTATGGCAGGGAACAGGCAGGGGCAAGAGCTGTCAGCGCTGGGGCAGGCAGCAGGGACACCATGGGCAGGAGCTGCTCACTCCTCCTCCACATCCTGGGTCTGCAAACGCTTCCGAGAGCCTTTTCCATTCCTCAAAGAGTGGGAGATGGCGGGGACAAAAGGCTTCACTCCTCTTGCTTTCTGGTCCTCGGTGACTTCCTTAGCTCCCTCGGTGGGGAAGCAGCCACACGTGAAACTTGGGATGTGGCTCTTCATGGATGTGGAACAGTTTCTGGTTTTACTGTGGCTCTGAGCCCTTGCAGCCCCACGTGCAGGAACATGGATCATGGCAGAGGCTGGCTCAATCAGTTTGGTTTCTTTTTGTTCTTGTTTCCTCTCCTATTTTTCTTTGGAAACCTTTTTTTTTTCATCCTCCCAGTGTCCCCTGGAGGGTCAGGAGCAGGACAGCTCTACACAGCGGAGAGAAGATGATTTTTATTTAGTTGCAGCTACGAGCGGAGCATATTTTACTAGGCATGAGGAGATTCCCTGAGGGTTTTCCATACAGCTCTCTGGAGAAGGGCCAGTGGGCAGGCTCTTTGCTCCCATGTGCTCCGGGGTGGCAGTGGATTGATGGGAAGGACGTGGATCTTGGGCTCATGGAACAAAACCCGCGGGACTCCCCTCGCTGAGCAGGGCAGGGGGTGGGTGGCAGCACGAGCCACCCATGGTCTCTCCGTAGCCTTGGATGGTTGCCTTGGCTGGGCTCTGCTCCTCCTGGGGAGACGCCAGAGCGGGGCTGGCTCCCTCTCCCTCTGTTTTCCCTCTGCAGCCCCAGCTGGCGTAAGGAAAGTGGCTGGAAGCAGGGGCTGGGATTCCTTGGCTTTGGCTCAGTGGCTGCTGCGCGGGAAGCCAGCTTTGAACTCCTCTTGTGTGACACTTAAAAACCATGAGGCTGAGGTCACGGCTTGAGGGGCTGGTGCCTTTTACTAGTGCTCCTTTGGGTGCAATTTTGCTCATCTTAAAAAAAAAAAAAATACAACCAATGGTTAAGAGTTAAATAGTTCCTGTGTTTTTAAGGTTGATTGGAAAAGGAAGAGGGAAATGGGGAAAATAGTAATAATAAACAAGAAGCTTTTCTCTTTCATCTACGATTGGAAGGAGTCTGTATTTGATGCTCCGATGAGGTGCTTGTATTTCAGATCAGCATCCCCAGTGCAGGTTTCTGGTGGAGACTTTTTTCTCTCTGAAGTTTCCAGGCAAGGCAGGAGGGGAGGAGAAAGGAGATGCAAGCCCGCTGCTTTATCAGCATGCACTTCCCTCTACTCCTCCCATCTGGTTTGTAGATCCTCCCAGGGAGGAAGATGAGAGCCATCCTCCCCCGGCTTTGTCATGGCAACCGGTGAAGGCAGGACCAGCTTGGTGGGATGCACCGCTGGGGCTTGGAAGGCGTTTGAGTTTTCTTCTGCATCTGCCTCACTCTGTTCCTCTGGAATGGGATGGGGGAAGCAGTGTGGAGAAACTCACCTTTTGTTGTGGTTTTCTTTCCTCCCCCCAAGTTACATGTCCATGGCAGACACAGACTTGTTGCTTGAATTTTTCATACAAGCTGTTGAAGTTGGCTTGTTTGGTGTTTTTTTTTTTTTTTTCTGTGGAGGATGGGGTTTAAGTGTGGGCTGGGTTATTTCTCCCAACCCAGTAATGCCTTTCAGGCATTTTTTGGAGCAGTGCTGATGCGATGGAGTCCTGGAGAAAGTTGAGTTTCAGGTGCTGACTGTCTGCTGGGGTGTTTCTTTTTGACGAGCCGGTGTAGGGTTTTGGTCTGGTGGCTGGTGGAGGCAGATGAGAGTCAGGGCTGTGGAGAGCTGGGCTTGGCACGTTGGGATGTGGCTGCCACCTCTCGCAGCCCCGGCTCCCTGCTGAAGTGATATTGCTGGCTTTTCTCCAAGTGCATCTGGAGAAATGCAAGAACCAAGCAGCAAAGTGATGAAGAAAAACCGGATTACAATTCTTCCATTTTTCTCATGTCAAACTGCTGCTTCTGTAATAGTCACCTGTGTGCAAATGCATTAGTTCTGAGTTTACCTTTTTGAGTCCTTCCGTGTTATCCATCACCTTTCCCTCCCAGGGGTCTGGGTTGTTGGTTGCTGGGAGCTGCAGAGGCAGCCTGATGTCCTGCAGTGCTTTTTTCCTCAAGGGGGGCTGCCTTCAGCTCTCGTTTCTCTGAGCTGCATCTCCTGAGTTACTCACCTGGTGAGGCTGAGCTGCCACCCACGCCGTTCCCTTATCTCCTACCAGGTACTTGCCCTGGGGCTGGCAAGGGGAGAGATGCTTTGAAGCTGCAGTTTCACCCTGGAGCTGTGTGTTAAGAGGCCAGGATGGAAAAACCAGTTGCTCTTGAATTTACTTGTCCCTGTGGCACTGCGGGTGGGAAGTGTGGTTGCCAGCGAGTCACTGGGACCATTCTTATAATTCACTGGTGGTACCAAACTGGGGTAAATTTCAAGTTTATTTTCTCCTTACAGTCTTCCTTAGGAAATTTATATGTTGAACTGGTTTCCCCCCCATGCTGGACAAGCTTGCTACAGTAATTAGACATCTTCAATACCAAAACCAAACGCACATCTTAAACCCCATCAGGAATGGTCCATGCTGAGAGCTGGCCGTGATGCACGGGTCGGATCCACACGGGTACCAGCGTGGGCTTCCTCCCTCGTGTGGGAGCTGAGGGGGAGAGGAGCGTGTCCCGGATCACAGCCCTAATTGCCTTTCCCATGGGAGTGTGCACCGGAGCTCGTTAGAGGGGCCTGGGGCTCTGGATGCTGCAGTGAGAGCTGGAACGGGCAAACAGTGAGGGTGTGGGTGCTGTGCAGGACCAGCTGGGTGTCTCCATCAGCAAAGCACCAAGAGAAGCTGGACATCTCCAGGGTGGGCAAGATGAAAGCAGTCGGATATCCAGCTATTAGTTAATATTATAGGTATATTGAGTTGTAAGAGGCTTGGAAATTGGACCACGAGGGTCTGTAGCTCACGTTATGTTATCTCTGCTCATGGATCTGCTGCTGGGGTTTGTTGAACTCCTTTATAGTGTGTTTGTGGCTCCTGGAGGTCCTGCTCTCTGGGAGCATCCCGTGTATGAGGGGATTCAGCCAGTCCATTGTCCAGACAGCGGCAGCATGTTTCACACATGTTTTTCCTGGGGAAATCTTCCCAGGCAAAGCTGCCAAAGGCTGGCAGTGAGTTCTGAGCGAGGGGGCCGTGCTGACAGCATCCCTCCTCGCCAGCTCCCCAGCGCAGGCTGCGCCGGAGGCAGCTCCACGGGGATGGGGTTCAAAGGGAGGCGAGGCAGGGCTGGCAGCCAGCCTGCCTGCTGCTGGGGGGGCTCTTCATCTCCCTATGGACAAACAGAGCTGAGCCTCTCAAAACCAGACCCGACTTTTAGCTTTTGTGGGAAAATGTGGTCCGAGTGACTTTGGAAGCAATATCGTTGTTGGGGTGGCACATCCACATGGCTTAACTCTGCCTCTCCAACTCTCTTACCAGCGGTGACATAAATGAGGACACGCTGGAGACCGAAAATGCAGCTGCTGCAGCTGCTGCTGCCTTTACAGCCTCCACGCATCTGAAGGAAGCAGTTTTAGGTAGGTTCAGCCTTTTGCTGTAGCCCCTCGGTTGGGATGGTGGAGCTGGCATGACTCAATGTGGCACAACCCTGCAGTGGTGCTGGCTGAGAAGGTCCAACCACTGCTGTGGGGGCACCCAGCTGGCCTCAGGGATGCTGGCCCCAGCATCCAGGGATGCTCTCCTGGGGACCCCGGGGATGCTCTCCCCAGCATCCAGGGTAACCCAGGATGCTGGTGGCTGCTGGCTGGGCTGCTGCTGCCCTCTCCTGGTGTGGGATGAGACCCTGTGTCTGGCCGTCACCAGCTTCTGCCCTTCCAGCTCGCCATGGGAACGTTTGTTTTGCAGCAAACTCACAGGCTTTGGTTACAAGTAAAAGTGAATTTTGTGAGCAGAGGCTGCAACCAGCCTGGCTGGAGCTGCCTTGAAAGCAGTTCTGCTCTAAAACCAAAAGGTGAATGACACCTGAACAACATCATCCCTTTCATTTTTATCAATAATTGATTTTTTTTCAGCCTTGGCTACTGACTTCTGAGATTTCATGCACTCAGCTGCAGCTGGTATAAATCTGCCTGCACTGTTTTGCCTGAGAAATTTGGGTGGTTGGATGCTTTAGTAGCAAAGGGCAAGCTAGTGGTGGCCCCAAACCCCAACACACCGCAGCATGCATTGTCTACATTTATTTCTTTTTAATCCTGAGCTTCAAAAGTGCTTCATCACTGTACCTGTGCCTCGGGGTGGTGAATCAGGGGCTGCGACTCACTTTTCTTTTTGATCTGTCCCTTCCTCTGTTCCCTGTGAGAAGTGAAGATGGCTGAAGACGAGGACAGTTTGGAGGCAGAGATTGTCTACCCCATCACCTGCGGGGACAGCAAAGCCAACCTCATCTGGAGAAAGTTTGTTTGCCCCGGGATCAACGTGAAGTGTGTGCAGGTGAGAGTAAAGGGCTGTCATGCTGGATTCATGCCTTCCCGTGCCCACATTGCGGGATCACTTGGCTTGTCCTGGTTTTGATGAGCTTTGGTAAGCTGCTTTGCATCAAAATCACATTGTGGTGGGAGAGGAGGAAATTTCTTGGTACTGTGGTACCTGATATTTGTCTTCTCAGCCAAGTTGAGCAGTCCTGGCTGGAGAGATGCTGCCTCAATTTAACTGTGTTATTGGAGAGTTTGAGAAATTTGGGAAATTCCAGTGTCTGCTTGGTTTGAAAGCTGAGAATTTGTTGAGAAGTTTATTGGTAGGGGACTTACTGAAGAGCTTCTGCTGTGTCCTCCATAACTTGTGGTTAAAATTTGCATGAATTCAGGAAGATAGCATGAGTGATGTTATCGTAAGCCATCACTGACACTGTACATGAACTAAACAATATCCTGCTGAGAGAGTGTCCCTTCTGGGCTCTGTTGCAAGAGGGTTTTCCAAAGGATGGTCCTTGCCCTTTGTAGCAGAGATGGTCTTTTCCACCCCTGAGGCAGAGGACAGTTACTGCCACAGATAATGTGCTGCTGCCTAAAATCAGTCCTCTTTTTTTTCACCAAAGCCCATGTACTTGTTCAGAGAAGCAGTTTCTCCTGCAGTAATGGTGAGTCAGCTCTGTGTTGATCAACACGGGCATTGAAAAGAGGAGGCCTGGACTTGGGAAATTCTTTTTGAGATGAGCTATAAAGCAGCTTTTTTTAGAGCGTTGCCCGATTCTGCAGGTTGCTTTTAGCTCAGGACATGGGTTCGGGCACAGCTGGGTGTGTAGGGCAATAAAAGAAGGGGGAAGAGCTGGCTCTGACAGTGTATGCCAACTCCCTCGAGCTGGTTTTCGTAGAAATGGGCGTGCGTGGTGAGAGGGGCCAGAGGTTTCACCGATACCGATGGTTGGTCTCGGTAGCACAGGAGGTCAAAGACCAAATGTGCTTCTCCTTCCCTCACTCGTGCAGGGCACAGTGTGCCCCTGGAGCCAAATGTCACTGTGGGCTCTTGTGAATGTGCTCATTAGTGGGAGTGCCAGCAGCTCTTAATGATACTTTGGACAAGTTGCGTGTGTTTTTCCCAGCCTGGGCTGGGCATTTAGCAAACTCCTCTGTGCTGTTCACACCCCTGAACCCTTGACTTTGAGCAGCTGTTAACCAACCAGGAAAGCAATATTTGGCTTTAATATTTTTTTAACTCGGTCACTGGTCTCTCAGCTGGAGAAGTGTGTGCCAGCCATCTGCTTTTGGGGCTAGTATTTAAACAGCACGTTGAGGCTGTGGTGCGGCTCCGCTGCTGGGCGCTGGGAAGTGCCACCCTGGTAACCCAGCTCTGCTGCTGAATCACACTCGCAGGGCACGCTCTCCTTGTTTTATGACTTGTCACACTGATGTTGCACCTCTGCCTCTTGCAGTTTGATGATCACCTCATTAGTCCCAAGGAGTTTGTCCACTTGGCGGGCAAGTCAACCCTGAAGGACTGGAAGCGGGCGATCCGGATGAACGGGATCATGCTCCGGTTAGTCTCCTCGTTTGTATCTGCAGAGCAACAGTGGAGACCTCTTCTTTGTTGGGGATCATGGTGAGGTGGAACAGAGCCTTTGACATGGTGGTTCTGCTGCTGAGAGAGCAAAAGGACCGCTGAATGCTTGTTTCAGCAGCCTGGCCCCAAACATGTGCTTTCCAATGGCTTTATCCTCGTGCCTAGGGAATAATTTGGGGTAAGAAATGCTTCCCTGGTCCTTTTAGGACTTGAACCACACTGAGTTCCCAGTTCACATAAGGCCATTGAAAATTTTAATGGCTGCTGGTGGTCAGGTCATGCTGTCTGTGGGTTCTCAGTGTCACTTCCCAAATGGAAGTCAGTCTGGTCATCAGCTAACGTTCCCATGAAGCATGTCTGCTTCACATCGTTTGTTGGGTTTGGGGTATTTTTTTCCCAAGGACTTATTTAAAGCTTATTTATGTAAGCATTTCTCTTCCCTAGTCTTCACTACGGCAGTTTAACTCTTCTATGGTCTTGTTGACCACCAGCCTGAGACTGTGATTTAATTAAAATCTGTCTCTGCCTGTAGGCAGGATAAAAAAGCATCACCTCTTTCCCCAGGAATTGTCAGTGGTTTTATACTCTTTTCACAGGGTGACCTTGCCTTTGCCTGTATTTTTCTGCTTCAATGCAGGCATCTCCCATATTCCTTCTAAGCAGCTTTTGCTCCACGAGATACAGATATACAGAGATACATCCTTAGGAGAAGTTCATGTGTCTCTTGAGCCTCTCAGCCCAAGTTGAGTGCTCCAGTAGTGAAGAAAAGGACTTTCCTTCTTGGACTAAGGAAATACATCCACTGCATCCTTGGAGAGGAACCTTTTTGGAGGGCTGAAGTCCTGTTCCCACTCCTCCATCCCGCAGGAGGAAGTGGGATGTGGCAGGGAAGTGGTCAGAAACTGAATCTGCTCCAGTCCTTTCTCCAGCTACAGCACGATGGGCTTTTTCCTCCCTGCCCCAGCCTCCTGAAAGGCTTTACCACCACTGGAGTGTTGCGTGATGGTTGGACCTGTGTGTGGCCAGTACAGAGCAGGCTGTGGATGCTGCTTTAATTAACTCTTAGTTAACGCTGCCTCTAAGATCAGGACACAGGGGGACTTGTCAAGGGAAGCTCAGGCTGTTGTCTCTGCCTGCTCTCCTGGCTTTTGATTTTCATCTGGGTCTTGGAGAAGTTTGGGGATGAAGGCTGCCAGGAGCTGAATCTTGGAGCTCTCTGCTTTCACTGATGTCCCTGTGCTTGCTCCCTGTTTTGCAGGAAGATCATGGACTCGGGAGAGCTGGATTTCTACCAGCACACAAAGGTTTGTTCTAACACCTGCCGGAGCACCAAAATCGACCTGACAGGAGCCAGGGTGTCCTTGACCAGCCAGACATCCACGGAGTACATCCCTCTAACCCCCGCCTCTGCGGATGGTACGTCCAGCCATTCCTCACACCCACAACAGGGGCTGTGAAGCATTAAAACACAACTTGTCCCAGGAGGCAGGGATCAGCTCGGCTTCTGCTGTGCAGGGTGCCAGGGCAGGAGTCCCTTCTCCTCCTCCTCTCAGCTCTAACCTGGCTGCTTCCAGAATAATTTTGGGGTTTTCATTTGAGGCACCGTCCCTGGAGGTATTTAAAAGATGGGTTAACATAGTGATTATGACATGGTTTAGTGATGGCGTTTTTTTTATCAGAGTTAGGTTGATGGTTGGACTAGATGATCTTAAAGGTCCCTTCCAACCTGGACAATTCTATGATCTAGAGGATACAGCAGACTTACTTTTTTTCTATCTGCACTGGTGTATGTAGTTCATAAAACTGGATTTCAATGATGATGTGGCTATGTAGCCGTAGCCCTAAACTTAATTTGACCTATAATTACAGGCATTTGTTTTATTGGAAAGCTTTCTAATTTCTCACTACCTCTATATTTTTTTTAACTCCTTTTGCTTCTGAGAGTTAAGAACATCCCCCAAAAGTCCCCCAAACCCCGAGCTCCTGATGGTGTCTGTGTGAGCAGAGTCCTTGGCCAGCTCTGCAGAGCACCTTGGGCACCACAGTCTGGTATTGTGGTGGGGATGCCAATGCACGGGGCAGCCTGTCCCGAGCCCTCCCGGTCAACGTGGACATCAGCTCATGAACCAGGGAGATGCTTCCCATGCTGCTGAGAAGCCCTGAAGGCTGCAGAGTAATTAGATTTAATGGCAGTGGCTGAGCAGTGCCCCGTGCAGCACCGTGGGTCTCTGGCCACATTCCCATTCATCCCGTTCCTTCTCACGGCTCAAGTGATGCCAGTTCCCTGGCTCTAGGGTAACAAAACCCCTGAGACTGGGCAGAGCTGGAGGAAGGGAGGGAGCCCCAGCTTCATCCCCGCACAGCAGGGGGGATGCTCTCCCCTTGGAGGCTTTAGGAAAACCCTCCCAGCATCCCAGTCCTGAAAAAAACCCTGAAAGCTGGGCAAAAAACGACTGCCAAAAATATCAGACTCTAAATCTGTTTGACTTCTGCCCTCAGCAGCACTAGTGAGTATGTGGGGGGCGGGGAAACAGGAGGGAAATGCTGTTCTTGGGCATGTGTTCTTGTGCAAGGGTTGCAGAAGGGATCCCTGGGGTATTGCACTCAGTAAATGAGTCCTGCTGGCACAGCAACCCCAGGCGGCTTCAGCGGCCGCGCGGGTGTCTCTCTCCCTTTAGCTCCGAGAGATGCATTTGAATAAAAATGCAATAAAAAGGAGAAGTTGCAGAAATGCAGCAAGGGAGTTCTTCCCTCAGAAACAGCCTGTGAAAAATACAGAATAAAATCAGGACTTGGTGTTTTTTTTTCTTTTTTTTTTTTTCCTGTTTTGCTATTGGTTGCAGTGAACGGATCCCCGGCTACAATTACCATAGAAACATGTGAGGACACCAGCGATTGGAGCACCAGCATCGGAGGTAGGGCTTGGGATCCCACTGGGTTTGGTGTATCCGGGGCAGAGGATGGAGGTGAAGGGAAAGAGGGAAACAGCAGGGATGAGGAGCTCCCTTCTTGCTGGAGCAGCCCCGCTGCCTCCACCGGGATTATTTGTTTGCTGCTCACCAGCAGATTGTGCTGTGTTACATCCTGCCTGAGTGTGGTCTGACCGCAGCATCGTCTTGGGATGAAATTATTTTAAGTGCTAAGATGTCAAAGCGTAGGCCAAATGCTCGGTGTGCCTCTAGGAACAAAATAAAATAAATCAGAGGGGTCATAAAATTGTTCTTGCTCCTGTTGCTCTGAGCAACAGGCTTTTCTGTAGCATCAGTGTCCTGTTTGTGTGTGACAGAGGATGGGGAAAGCGTGTTTTTTTTCCAGCTGCCCCTCTTTTGGGTACATGCTCTGGCTGGGTTTTGCCCCAGCACCCTGTGCCTACATCCCCACAGAACTTCTCCCTTGTAGGGGCCAGAATGTCCTGTTTGTGTGTGACAGAGGATGGGGAAAGCGTGTTTTTTTTCCAGCTGCCCCTCTTTTGGGTACATGCTCTGGCTGGGTTTTGCCCCAGCACCCTGTGCCTACATCCCCACAGAACTTCTCCCTTGTAGGGGCCAGAAGGGGACCCCGGAGCAGGTCACCATTGAAAGCCCCTCCAAGGATTTTGAGGTTCTCCCTTGCTTTTCCTGTTTGTGTGTGACAGAGGATGGGGAAAGTGTGTTCTTTTCTAGCTGCCCCTCCTTTGGGTACATGCTCTGGCTGGGTTTTGCCCCAGCACCCTGTGCCTACATCCCCACAGAACTTCTCCCTTGTAGGGGCCAGAAGGGGACCCCGGAGCAGGTCACCATTGAAAGCCCCTCCAAGGATTTTGAGGTTCTCCCTTGCTTTTTCTTTCTCCAGATGACACCTTTGCTTTCTGGCGAAGCCTGAAGGACATGGGTCTTCTGGAAGAAGTAATCCACGAGTTCCACCAGGAGCTAGTGGAGACCATGAAGGGCTTGCAGCAGCGAGCACAGGATCCCCCGCTCCAGCTCTGTGGTAGGAACCTGGGCATGGGTGCTCAGAGGCATCTCAGGACGGAGATGGGCTTGTGGTTTCATTTTTTTTCCCCTTAGGGATATCTGGATGGCACTAGAGGGACATATTTAATCATAAGTAAATCTCATTTCTGGCTGCTCTCTGGGCAGGCTCTCAGCTTGTTTGGGAATGCTTCTGGTGGCCTCAATTCTCCAATTCTCTACTTTCTGGGTCTGGACAAATGCTCGGCTCAGGAAAGGAGGTGGAATTTAGGCCATCAAATAATGATCAGCAACCAGCTACTGTGCCAGCAGATACCTTATCAGCCCTGCTAAGCAGGAGAGGGCTGTTGATACGCTAGTAACCTCTTGCACTTTCTCATGACTTCTGTCTTCTCCTCTTCTGCAGCCTCTTGTGTTACCCTCCTGCAGATTTTCGCTGTCTCAGCTGAATGTGTTCACTGTTGTAATGCTTTTTACTGAGCTATAAATACTTTGCGTAGGGATATTTTTTTTTCTTCCTCAAAGATCTGTGTCTCTTTTTTTAAGATGCTGTTTTACTCAACAACGTAGTCCAGAACTTTGGTATGCTGGATCTGGTCAAGAAGGTCCTGGCCAGCCACAAGTGTCAGATGGATCGCTCGAGGGAGCAGTACACGAGAGATTTGGCAGGTATGACCCCGAGACAGGCACTTCTCAGCGCTGCCAGCACGTTATCTTTCTGTGTTAAAAAAGTGGGCTTTGGGTTAAAGTTGGTGCACGCTATACCAGCTGTGGTGGGACCGGCTGCTGCTGCTCTAGGTGTTGCCATGGTCCTTGGGAAGCTTGTCCTGGGTCTGAGCTGAGCTGAGCTGACCCCTCTTCTCTCTCCAGCTCTGGAGCAGCAGTGTGACGAGCACCGCAAGCGAGCCAAGGAGCTGAAGCACAAATCACAGCACCTCAACAACGTCCTGATGACCCTCACGCCCGTCTCCGTCCCCACGCCTTTAAAACGTCCCAGGCTGACCAGAGCCACCTCCGGACCCGCTGCCATCACCTCCCAAGTCCTGTCCCAGCCTGCTCAGCTCGCAGTCACCCCCGGCATGCCCGTCTCCCAGCTCGCCAACCTCCCTCTTGGCAAAGTGGTCTCAACCCTCCCGCCCTCGGTGCTGGGGAAAAGCCCATCCCAGCCTCCTGCTGCCAGCTCCCCGGCCTCCCCGCTGCTGGGAGGGTACACGGTACTGGCCTCCGCCGGCTCCACCTTCCCCGGAACCGTGGAGATCCACCCGGACGCTTCCAACCTGACGGTGCTGAGCACGGCTGCGGTGCAGGACGGCAGCACGGTGGTGAAGGTGGTGAGCCCCTTCCAGCTGCTGACGCTGCCGGGACTTGGCACCACCATCCAGAACGTGACACAAATGGCTCCCGGTGGGAGCACGGTTGTGGCTGTCCCCTCTGGTGCCGCCGAGGCCACCGGGGATGAACACGCCGCCGCCGCCATCGAGGTGACCGCAGTGGCCGACGAGGCAGAGCAGAAGTGAAAAGGGGGGACTTGCCTGGAGGGACGCTGGCCGTGCCGCTCTGGGTGGAACTGCCTCTTTCTCTGGCTGCGCTGCGGGACGAGGAGCGGTGTAACGAGGGGCACGGGTTAACGAGACTCAGAGCAGCTCACTTTGGTAACGAGGAAGCTCAGGTCAGAGGGAAGCAGGGGGAGGAAAGATGCCCGGAGAAGGGAAAGGCAAAAATGCTTTGCCCTGTTTGGAGGACAAAAAAAAAAAAGCTTATTTTTTTTTATAAAGCTTTCCTCCCCCGTTCTCTTGGAATAATTATTCCATTCTAGGTCATCAGCCCTGCCTGGTGTGCAGGCGTAGCTGGAGCAGCATCAGTTCAAGCAGGAGCAGGGCAGGGAGAAGGTGGTAGCAAAAGGAGAAGCGGGCGAAGCGCTGAGCAGGCACCGACCCGGCCCCCGAGGGGTCTGGTGTGAACTGGTGGGAGGTGTCAGGGAACTGGCTGCTCCCCATCCCCGGGGATGCCGAGAGAGGGTTGTCCACGGGGTGTGTGCGGTCATGGAAACCGGGGAGAGGGTGTGCGTGGCACGGGGAGGTTGGCTTCTGCCTCTTCTGCTGGCTTTGGGTGGTGGAAACAAGAGGGAGCTCTCGTGGGCAGTGGCCGTGATGGGTCACCCAGGTCTGCTGGGGGAAGGAGCGGGGAGAGAGAAACCCAGAGGGGGCTGGGAAGAGCTGTAACTTCTGAGGATTTAGGATCTCTTTCTAGTTTTCTCAAAAAAAAAAAAAAAATCCATTCTTTGGGATTTGTTTAAAGCAAAGCCCTTTTGTTGTGAAGATTGTGCCGTGAGGCAGGGAGGTGCTGTTGAGTGTGTGGAGATGAGCTGAAGGGCAGCGCTCGGAGGAGCTTGCACTTATTAACGAGGGGTGACCCTGCTGGTCCTCAGCATCTCCCTGGGCACCTCATCCCCCAGGAGCCGGGCGCTGCCGTTCCCTCCCCGCCGGGTCCCAGCAGCTGCTCTGTATCGGGGCGGTGACCCCCCCAGTTACTCCTTCCACCACTCGACGTGCTGCCAGTCTCATCTGGTCCCGTCTTAGGGCCACAGTGATTTCACGCTGTCTCCGGCTGGAAGGAGGCGGGTGCTCGAAGTGTTGGGGTTTCTACAAACTTGATCTGGCAGCAGCAGCGGTGACAGGTCACTTTAATGAGCTAATAAATATTTTTTTGAAAGAATGCTGCTGGTTTATTGTATTTCTGTGCCTGGTTGTGACAGTTGGGGCAGGAACACACTTTGCACTTTTATTTAAATATAAATACACCCATATATGTATGTATGCACATTGTCTGCACATGTGCAAAGATGCTCCAAGCTCTTGAGGGTGTTGGGCACGTTGTGATGCTCTGACTGTGTCCTGGGTGTTTGAGTGACGGGGCTGGGATGCACCACTGTTCAGGGGAAGATAAGGGGGTGGTTGGTTTGTCTGAATCTGCTGTGTTTGGGGGGTGCTGGGCTGGTAAAATGCTGGGAGGAGTGAAACTTGAGGAAACACCCTTTGGGTTTGTTGAAGGTAGACAAGAACCGAGTTTTGCTGTTGGAGGGAGGAAGAGAAACGTCTTGGACCCTGCCAGACATGTGAGTATGAGCAATTTCAGGGAGTGGGAGCGGCTTTATCCCAAACATGTCCATACTATAGAAGGATTTATAAGGATTTATTTTCTTTTCTTTGCAGACGATGCTTTTAATTTCAGGAGCTGGAAAGTTTGGTGCCGCTCTGCAAGACCAGGCTGGATGTGAGCAGCAGTCGTGCAGATCTTCCATCCTGGCTGCGGGACGGGGCTCTGTGGACACTTAGCTCTTTCCCAAGGCAGCAGAGGGATGGATGCTGTGTGTCCCCGTGGAGGCAGAGCCTGTTCCTCAGGGTCCTTTATTAACCGCAGGGTTGATGTTGAGAAACACCTACTTCTGTGTGTCACAGCCCCAGCGAAACCTTTAAATCAACCCCCCATTGGCTGACTCTGCCTCTTCTGCCAGACTGGCTGGCTCTGACTATGCCTTACTTCCTCCTAGTAAATAAATATTGACTCATTCCCCACCCCGGGGATGGGGACAGCATGGCCAGGCTGGCCCTTTGGTGGGATGAGAGGTTGAGGAGGTGTGTGGGGCTGGGGTTTGCTCTGGCACAGTGTTCTGCAGCCCATTCAGCCACGGTCACTGGGATGGGTGGGTGAGGACACGGCTCAGTGGTACTGGGTGCTCTGGTGTCCCCCAGCCCCTACCCTGGGTGATGAGGTCCCTGGTGCTCCTGGAGGATGGGGAGGAGGTTGCAAGTGGGCTCTTCTCCATGCCTCTGCAGTTGGGTGAAGGTTCTCACGTATCTTGAGGGCAGGAGCTGCTGTAGCTTCAGCAATTTGACATCTTGAGGGGTTTTCAGCAATTTTCATGTGTAGTGAGTTTTGTTTTCAAATCCAACCCTGCTGAGATGATCATGGCCATTGTTGGGGGGGGGTGGGGAGATGTTGCCAAGGGAGCACTTTGCTTTTAAACCAGCAGGTGTGGGCAGGCAGTTGCCTTCAAAGACTTCTTGAGTTTGCAAAGATGCTGGGGTGAAGCAGGAGAGGGACATGTGTCCGTCCTGCCTGTGTGCCCATCCGTGGCTGGGAGACCCCTCGAATGCTCACTGGGTCCAGCCAGTGGATGCTGTGAGCAGTGATGTCTTTCTGGAGGTGGTTTAGGTGTCTTTAAAAAAGTTGAGGTTTATGGACTCTGAAGATCTGCTCTTATTCAGGGACGCTGGGATCACTTTGTGGTGGTTTATTTTCCACCCTTTGCCTGGGATTTGAATGTGGGTGGATGCAGCAGCATCCCAGGGAAAAACTTCCCTGCAGCCCGTGCCTACGCTGAAATCTGCATCCTGGAATGGTGCAGGGAGGGTGGTGGGGCTGTGCCTGACCGCCTGGGCATTGCTTGATGCCACCTCCATCTCCGAAACTGGCAGCAACCTCAGCACCAGGCACCCGCTGCCCATCACGTCCTGCCTAAAAGTCCCAGTTTTAATGTAGAAAAGCATCCAGGGGTTACAAAGCCGAGCCAAGCGCTTTCTGGGGTGCGGTGTGGGGCTGTCCCCGAGGTGTCCCTGGCACAGGCAGGGTGTGCACGGGGCTGGTGAGCTCCAAAGTCTGATCGTCCGTGGCACGGGCTGGGGCGGACCCGGCTGCACCCAGGGCTGATAGCAGCCAGCTCCTGAGCTGTGTTCGGAGGAGCTGTGATACGCAATCAAGGGGAAAAAGGATTTATTCCTCTGAGGTACTAGTTTCGTTTCAGCTGAGCCTGGACCCGGGGTCACAGCTGATTAGGAGGAGTCCTGCCTAATCAGAGGTTTTTCCCTCCCAGGCTGCCTGCCGATATCGCAGTCATTTCTTCCCTGCTATCTTTGTACTTGGGACAGCATTAGTATGTCAGGCCAAGGAAATATAAAGGGTTGTGATCCCTCTGAACCTCTTCTTGCCTCTCCAGCGTGAGCAGCATTGCTGAGCCGGACCCAAGGGTGTATTTGTAGCCCAAAGCCCTCTGCTCCCACATTGTGAAGGTGAGTGAAGGTCCCTCCGTGGCCACAGGCACACCTTTCCCTGGCAGTGCTGGGGGCTGGAAAGCATTGATGCATTTGCCCAGCCCTGGAGAGCTGTGGGTTGAGTGCCCTGCACCAGCCATCTCTGCTTTGAGCAAACCCATCCAGGTTGTCCAGGGGCTGTGGGCTGAAAAGGCTGGAGGGGCCTCCTGGCTCCTCTGTAAGGGTGTCTTGAGAGGTGACATCGGAGCGTGGGGTGGGATGGGGTTTGTGGCATCGGAGCGTGGGGTGGGATGGGGTTTGTGGCATCGGAGCGTGGGGTGGGAGAGGGTCTGTGGCATCTCCACATTGATGTGAGCAGTGCTGGGGCCACGACAGTGAGTAGCAAGTGTTGGGGCAGAGCTGGCAGCGGGGAGGAGGCAGCAGCTCTTCCCTGGCTCCACGCACCTTTACCTGTCCCGGAGATCATAGATCACTTCGCCCGCAAAGCATTCCCAGTGTGGGTGTACTTTGCCCTGCAAGACAATGCTTCCTGGGGGTGTGAAGAGCAATCCAAGCAAAAAAAGCTCAGCTGACGGATTTTGGCTGGTGCAATCCTCCCCTTCCTTTGCAGCAGATTTCAGGGCAGCCAGGCAGGGAGGTGCTGGTGGTGCAGCCCTGTGTCCCCGCAGAGACTGGCTGTGATGCTCTGGGATGTCCCAGCAGTGTGCTCCTGAGCACGCCACAGTGCTTCCCCGCTCTGCAGAGGGTGGCTGGGTCCTTGGAGGGCCGTTGGTAGCTCATATTAGGGCTGGGGCTGAGAAGGAAAAGCAAGGGGAAGTCACCTACAGCAAGCTGTGAACAGAGATTATCAGTCGGCACATGGATAACCGGCCTGGGGCAGGATGCAGAAAGGATGAGGCCGTTGGGGCTTGAGCAAGACGGGGAAGTCCCGGGGGGTGTGTGGTTGTTTTGTCTCCTGGTTCTTCCGCCCTGGTTTGGGCAGTAAAGCATCACTTGTGGGGAGCACGGCCCGCCTGCGGGTCAGAGGTGCTGACAGTAGCACCAGGATGTGGGGCTCTGAGCTGGGGACCCCCCCGAGCCCTCCCCAGTGAGTGCTGCTACGGAGCCAAGGTGGGCTCCCAGGGCTGCAGCGGGTGTTGTGCACCCCACAACTGGAGCATTGGGGTGAATGCCAGTGGGTCAGGCCCCCACATGAGCCTGGGGTCCCTGTGGCAGGGCTGGGGCTCCCACGTGCCCAGCTCTGCCAGCCTGGTGCTGCCAACAGCTGCCTTCCCGGGGTCCCCTTGGCTGCTCCCCTTTCCTTTTGGGGGGAGCCTGGGGCTGCTCTGCTCCCAGCCGGGTGTGAAGAACTCACATCCAGAGACCAATTACATAAGGGCTGCGGATGACTCATGCCAAGTCCCTGTTTTTCTCCGGATTGTGCGGCGATGGAGGCACGGCCGCTTGCGTTCTCTCCTCCAGGCATCCACGGGGAGCAGCCTGCAGCATTTGGGGAAGACCCACATCCAACCGGCAGCTCAGCTTTGCAGGCAGAGCTGTGCCGGGGTCCTGCCGGTGCGAGGGGGGAGGCTGCAAGAAATCACCAGCTCCTCGGTCACCGGGTCACTCAGGGGTGGTACCAGGGCAGGAGATGCTCCAGCATCCTCATGGGAGACCCTCCTGGGTCCCAGCTTGTCCTCGCACAGTTTTTTGCAGCGTGCCCAGAGCTTTGAGGGGGATGCTGCAGCTGAGCCTCCCCCCGAGGCGGCGTGGATGACTTTGTGGGGAAACCCCTCCGTGGCTGTCGCTCTTGTCACCGCAGGAATGGAAACCGAAACTCGGGGCGTTCAGCTGAGTGTTTGTTTGTCTAAAAATCGACAAATCCTGGCTTTTGGCTCTCCCCCTCCCACCCTGTTGCTGTTGATGCAGTGACGCAGCTTTGCCTCCTCCCTGCTCCGGCTGCCGGGCTGGGCAGAGCCTTCCTCCTGCCTGCCAGAGATTAAGTAACAGCAGAGCCCGGCTTCTCCCCTGGGTTTCTTCTCTATCGCCTTTTTGTGCCTGCCAAGCAGGGCCAGGAGCTTTATCTAAGACAGTGGAAGCTTGGTTTGCTCCTGGAGCTGGAGCTCTAGGGAAAACATCTCACCTGTAAAAGCAGAGTGAAACCTCTGAATACCCCCTGTAAAATCAGAGTGGAACCTCAGTGCCAAGGCTGCTCTGCCCCCTGAGCCTGGCACTCTCCAGCCTGGCTCTGACATCTTGGAGGGGGGAGTTGTTTGAAGCTATTTTGTTTCTGGTTTTTATTCCTCTCTGCTGATGCCCGGGCTGTTACAGAGACATTTGCTGTGGTTTAGAGTCAGTGCTGTGGAGAGGATGATTTCTACCCACTGGCAACACACACCAGGACAGGCTCCATGGCTGCTGCGTGTCCCGGTGCCTGCGTTCCCTCCGTGCTCGGGCTGGGGACCGGAGCTGACGCCTTCCCAAGCTCTTTGGCCACACTTGGCTCTGGGGCAGGGGAAGGGACCGCTCCTTTCCTGCCCGGGGATGGGGCCCAACTGATAATGGTTGTTATAGCAGCTTTGAGGACAGGCTGGGGGGGCACCAGGAAAGTTTGGGATGGGGTCAGCTCCTCCTGCCGGGCTGAGCTTGCCCTTTCCTGACTAAATACAGAGCAGAGCAGGGTCCAGCCCTGCTGCAGGTGGCCATCACAGCCCCGGGGGTCTGTCTGGCAGCCACTGGGGCTTGGGTCTGTGGTTGCCACGGCCACGTTCTGGTGGGGTCCATCCAGCGCAGCCCCCTGGTGTGAGAGCTGCTTTCCCTGGGGGCTCCCATCGGGTGCGACTGCACACAACTGGGAAGCCAAAAACCATCGTTCCTCTTCCTCCTTCTCTCAGTGTTGACAAACATGCCAGAAAACAGTCCCTGCTCCTCCTCCCTCCCCTGCTCCTGCCACCAGCCTGCCCCAAGGGCTGGCTCTCTGCTCCTCGCCATTTCCTCCTGCTTGTTTCCAGGCTGAGCTTTTCTTTCCCTCGCTGGCACCACCTTCGTGCCAGGGCCCCTGCGCGGCGTCACCCAACACGACGTGCCCGTCCCTGGGCTGGGGGGGGGATTTGAGAACATCTCCGTTAGCGGGGGGAAACTTTCCCTGCGGTGCCTCGCAATCTTCAACAGCCACTCGTAGCTGGAGGCGGGGTGGTTTTCCCTGGTTGCTTTCCAGGGCTCGCAGCTGGCCGTCGGCATGAAGATAATGTTATTAGGTGGGAAGGCCGGGGCCCGGCCGCAGCGCTGTGTGGAGCACAGCATCCCTTCTGCAGGTGGGTGCTTTCTGAAGCCTCCTGTCCTGGCTGGTGAGATGATGCTCTGTGGCCAACACCACCATGATGTGGTGTGGTCCTGGGGCTCGGGGATGGTGGGGGGGAGCAGTTAGAAGGACCTCCTGGGCCTTTTGCTTGGATGCATGTATTTTTGGGGGGATTCTCAGGCTGCCATGGTAGGAGGGGCGCTGATTTTGCTGCTTGTCTGTGTGTACCACCCTC